CCCCCACCCCCCTCACCTAGAACCACAAACCTATGTTGGAACGAGACTGCAATCAGCAGTGCTCTCCTGAGTAGGACACACAGGCTCTGTCAGGGAAGTGGAGGGGCAAGACAGGAAAGGGGAAAGCCTTGTGGGTAGAAGTCAGGAAGAGGGACAGGTAGAGGTTGCAATTGGCAGGGATTGCACATGAGATCACCCGGGCCTTCCAGTGGATCTTCTGGGTAGGGTCAAAGCAGAGGAAGCACCCAAGTTGGAGCATGGAGACATTAAGTGGCTGAGAGTAGGCCTGCCCTTAACTGTGGGTAACCTACTCCTGCTCCTCTAAGTAAGATTGCCTCAGATTTAGGAATCAAACGCTCCCCCTGGGCCCCACGAGGTGGGGATCAGCAACCACATCCCAGAGCCAGGAAATGGCAGCCCTGCCTCTGCTGCCTCTCGCTGTAGTGTGCCACCCAGGCACTTCTGACTCCTAAGACAGAGCAGAAGTTTTTGTAGCATTTTCAAGTCTGTACTGAAGCAAATCACCACATTGTTCTCCCGCTGAGCAACTGGTGGATTTGAACCATCAACCTTTCCATTAGCAGCAGAGTGCTGAGCCATTAGAATGACCCCACTGTCTTGAAACCTGTCAAACAAGGGTTAGGAGAGCAAATAGGGGACAAAATGGTTTTGAAATATGCAAACACTGAGAGCTAACAAATTTTGAATTTGTATTTTTTCCAGTTCGTGGGCGCAGTATATGTGGTGGGGTGAGGTGGGGTGGGGAGGGGGGTGAGAGAAAGAAGGGATAGGATCAGTGGAAAGTTGCTTTTATGGTTTATAAAACCTGTGTGTCATGTGATCCTGCCTCATTCCTACTTTGCTCTCTCTTTCTTGCCCACAAGAGCTGGAACGCCGCACGTAGGATGAGCTGGGATCATGAATTGTAGACTAGATGGTGTGAACAAAGCAGAATAGCTGAGCTCAAAGAACAGAGTAGCAGAGCTGGAACTTTGGAAGAGCTCTGTGTTTAAACAATGCTGCTTCCAACATATCCACAATGCTAGTCATCCCTCAAGCCCATGGCCTTGCCAAATAGGAAAATGTGGAACACGGTTTTCATTCAAATAAGCTAAGCCCATACTCTGGTGGGCACTGTGCTCCTTTTCACATTCATCTCACCTCACTCTATAGCACTCCACGGCCCACAGGTAGATCAGTGCAGAGCCCATGGCGCCAAGAATCCCGGGCCTGGGATGGCCAACGAGCTGGCCGTCCAAGCAGACCTTCTGCCCCGAGGGAGGCCAAGTGAGTGGAAGAATAAGGACAGCTCTATTCCCTCTAGAGAAGTTTGTTTTGGTTTGGTTTTTATCCCAAGCACCACGGCAGAGCTAGGCCGTACCGGAGAGCTGCCTCTTTCTCTTAATTGGTTTCTGTTAGTTGCCAACACATGAAGTGTTGATCCATTCACCAAGGTCCACAGTCTTTAGAAATTATTATGATGGTGTAGTGGATGTGTGTCTTGTGATTATGTGTATGTTTATGGATGTGTATGTTTTAGGGAAAGCATTGGGTTCCCTAAGGAAGAAAAAGAGCAAGGTCTACAGGGGACTGGACACAGGACAGTGGCCCCAGGCTAGACTTGTAAATGGCAGGCTCTGGTGCTGTCACATTGCCCAACTCAAACCAGTCACATTGCAGGCTGTGGAAATGGCTGGAGTCCAGGGGGAGGGGGCAGGGAAGGCCTTGGGGAGACTGCGCCAGGCCAACATCATTGCTTTGTGAGGTCTTCATTCTACCAAGCTAGCACGGCCACCAGAAGAAGCCTCTTTGAACAGTTAAGTGCAGAGTTGGAGATCCACCATCGCTAGCGCTGGTGAGTGCTTGAAATGAGACAGTCAAGAGAAGCAAAGGAGCAATAAACCAAGTGTTCCCACCGGAGGCAGGCTGTAAATTGATGTAGGCCTTCTGAAAAAGACCAAGGAGGCATTTCCTTTTTGATCTTATGGATTTGCCTGCCCTACAGTGTGTGCCTTCTTATTAGACTTTCTTACTGAAAAGAATAAAGGATTGACAGTTAGGGGTCAACATCTTTCTTTGTTTTAATCTAACCTCTTTCCTCACCAGAGACAGATGGGTGGTAGAGAGGCCCCACCAAGAACAATCTCAACCACTTCACATGTAGGACGAAGTAGGAAGTGGACAATGAAATCATCAGTTCTCGTGTGGCGTATGTTTAGGTGGAGATGTATAATTATCTTTTCAGCAGACTTGATGGAGGAGCACGTAGGGAACTTCACAGCTCACTTGTTGGTTTCTGTTGAGCTCCATCTGGAGTCCCTCACTGTAATTGGAACCGTACTTAAGAGTGCGCGCACACACACACACAGATTTTACGCTGTCTTTGTTCACTTTGTTATCAGTTTGAGGAGCAGAGAGAATGGGACACAGGACAGACCGGCTCTGGCAGAAAACAGGAGATGTAAGGAAGGTCTTGAACCTGGAGTCAGCCCAGAGACAACATTTCTGCCAAGGGTCAAGTGCAACCAAGAAGAGACCGACACCTAGGGAGAACTTTGCTGCTGTTGTTAGCTGCCGTCTGGTTCGCCCCTGACTTGTGGCTACTCGGTGTACAATGGGAATGGGTTGCTGTAATCCAATTCCTGACTACTTTTCAGAAGTTTATCACCAGGCTTCGCTTCATAGTCTGTCATAGTCTGGAAGTTTTGCTAACACCTGCTGTGTCTAGTCTACCTGCTGGGTAGACTAGAGGAACAAATTCATAGAGATACTCATATGTGTATAAGAAAGAGCTCTATATCTAAGAGTAATTGTACATTAAGAAAGCATGCTAGCCCAGTGCAGATCAAGTCCATAAGTCCAATATTACCCCATTTGTCAATACTAGTCCATAAATTCCTCTTTAGACTCATGCGGCCATGCAATGATGCTGAAAGCAGGAAGATCACAGGCCAGTGTGTGGAAAGTCTTGGGGATCCAGTGGTGCTGGAAGCTTCTCAGCACTGGCATGGGTCTCCATGTGGCTCCTCCAGATCCAGGGATTTGGCTACATCAGCGTAGCTTCCTCAGGCTCATCATGAGTAATGTCTCACAGGGAGTGAACATGTGTCCTGCCTTCAGTGAGCTGTTTATCTCCTTAGCACCTCCGAATGAGGTCATTAAACTGTGACCTGATTGACAGGCTAAACTCCACCCCTTCACTCATAATAGTCTCAAATTGATAGCAGATTATATAACTACCACACCTGCTTAACAATACATAAACTCCACTGACAAGTAGGCAGTGGCTTCACAGGCAGGGGATCGGTGGGCAATAGAACTGCACAAGAAGGGAGCGTTTAAGAAGGATGACTTCCTTCCGCACTTGAGCTGGGCCCTGCCATCCTGTGCTCAGAAAGCTTTATTGAGCCAGGTCATCATCCTGCAGCATCCTACCTTTGAACTTGGATAAAATCAGTATGGAGAAAAGGAGAAGGGAAAAAGAATTGGCATTTTTAAAAATACTTACTTGCCAGCCTTGTGCTTCTGCAAATCTAGCTTATTCTCACATCTAACCCTACTTCGTAGGTGGTGTTCCCCACATTTTGGGAGGACACTCAGCTCTGAAGATCCAGGACCTTCCTGAGCCAGAGCCCAGCTCAGCTCTATGCCCTGGAGCTTAGGGCCCTGGCTTCTGGGCTTCCTTCTGAGCGTAAAGTGACTAAAGGAAAATTCCATGGTTAAAGCCTCTAGTCTGTCACCTTGGTCTACCTACACTTCACTTCTAAGATGCCCTGGAACAGAACAGGGACATGAAGGCAAGGGATGCCTCTTGGCAATTCTACTTTCTGGGATCACACTGGAGGCCAGAGGCTCCAGAGGTTGTGGTGAAGGATAGCCTTTGTTGTTATCTCAGCGGTTTGCATGGTAAGCAGGATGCACCCTCAGTCACTGGGGCCTGCATGCACCACATGTGGGGACAGCATACCAACTGGCCAGCTCCACCTAGCCTGCCAAAAAGGAGAACAGCTTTTGATCTATGCCACTGAGTTCATCTTAGAAGTTCTGTTTGCCTGATCTCCATGCTTCCGCAGGCAGAAAAAGATGCATGGTGCTAGAGCTGAAAGGAGCCATAGGTAGTCCATTAGGGGAAGGGGTCAGAGAAGTGGGTGTAGTGCATGGTCCAGGAGGATGCCATCCAGGAGGCTGGAGGGGCCCACGCTGGCTCCCACACAACAGGTTTGGCTCAGTAAAGATCAGGCTCTTGGGAAAGTGGACATGGCCACTACCCTTTGACAAACTCTAGGGAATTATTTCAGGAACCCAGAGTTTGCAGGTGCCAATAATGGAAGGATAGACAATGAGGAGGATTTTTACACAGGGCAGGAGGAAGCTGACTCAGGTGGCCTGCGAGTTCCTCCTCCTGATGGACTCTGGGAAGAAGGG